GGACCACATTCACCACTTTTCAGTGATTCAGGTGCCGCGGTGTACTTACGAGACAGGTTCCTTGGTACCACATTCGTGTAGCCCTGCTACCTCCAGTTCGTGTTGCAGTGCAGGGATGCTTATGTTATGATTATATTCATTTATGTTGAGTTGCTGGAGGGGAAGTGGTGCATAGCTGCTGGAAGTCTCCACCCAAACAATTTGATGGAGCCATTGTATTTTATTTATGGTATATGCTGGTATTACGCTCCTCCATATTGATCATGTCAAGGGAAATGTTTTTTTCCGTAGTTCCTCCGGAATGTATATTGCCGGTACCATCATAAAAAAGTTCTCTATCACGGTAGTGGAACGTTCAGCGAGATCCTCGATTCTCATTTACATTGTTTGCATGGTTTCTTGAAGCTTTATAAATTGAGAAATTATTACCTACGTGTGTGTCACGTGTTGAGTTTTCTGCTGCACTAACGTTAACTTGCATGCATCTAACCTATCTTTGTACTAACAACCTCCGGCAGCTTCGTGTTACTGCGTTACTATCATAGCAAGTAATTACACTGTGGGGTATTGAGCTGTATTACTGTGAAGTATTACTTGAAGGGGATCATTACTTCCACGCTGTAAGTTGCTTTACTTCATATTTTTTTATGACTAAAGTCTCGTAAGTACCTGCAGGCTCTCATGTGTACAGTACTAGTTTATCCAATGGTCGTGGTTGCACTGGACGCTATACAAGTTGGCCAATGTGGTGATGAAACTCCTGTGAACTGATGAGGCTTAAACGAAGCTTATGGCTGGGCCCTGTTCAGTCTAATATTTTTCAATGAATATCCATAGAAGCATTCACATCAGCAGTGCAAGGCATCTGCCATACCCGTGGTGTGAATGCTTCTATGAGAAATGCATAAAAGAATATTAGACTATACAGTGACAGGCATATGCCCGGTAGTATGGTGTGAACGTGGCCTATAGCTGCTTTAGCCTCTGATCACCGGCAGCTAGTGCAGCTCTATACATTGTTTGTGATGGCATGGAAGCTGCTGGTGACACCAACACTCAGGTCAGCATCAGACGTGTCGATCGCGCTCGCATCACTATCACTTAACTCCCTAAGCGGATAATTGTTCTTAAGCTTCTGAACCTGGTAGTGGACAACTATAACCGTGAGCAAAAGCTCCCAGTTAATCTTAAATGCCAGTTTAATGTCAGCGATTGTTTACCCTCGTGTGAGATGGGGGCAGCGGCAAGAGAAATCGTCGTTACCGGCATCAAGCTCCATCTTCTGCTAAGCGCCCCTATTTTTCTCCGTACAACTACTCTAACTTGTACCTTGATAGTTCATCGTGGTTCTCAAGTGGAACCAGTAATTTCACTTGAGAACCTTGCTGAGGATCGATGTGCCGGCGCTTGAGTAAGAGGGCAGGAGATTCTCGTGTGAGGTGTGACCGGGGACGTGACTAAAGATGCCCTAAAATGTGGAGACAAAAGTCTGCCCTCTCTATTATGACTCGCATACCGTCACTACACCTGCAGTAGCTACCATGTACATTATTGACGTTGCTACCATTAACGTTACTGACGTCTTGACGTGTGTCGCGCTGGCATGGTCCGCATGGATGAATACTTCGCCCATGTACATGCAAGACGTAGCTATGAGAAGCTGTTGGTGCTCAATGACAATCACGGGCTAACTAAACAAATGTTCAGTGAGAATTCTTTGATGAATTTGTATATTTTCCACTGATCGTAAGATTCGTTGGCAAATTGGTACCTTTTGTCCTTAATAATAAGCTTCTCTCTGGTTAATTGAGTGTCGCAAGCGGATGAGGTGCATTTCCCGTATCTTTAACCCTTGTCGGACGTGGATAATTGTAAGATCATAACTCGGTACGATCATAGCGTTATTAAATTATCCTGTCCGACGAGGGTTAAAGTGAGGAAACTTCACAATCCCGGCTATTATTAATCTCTGTAGCGCCATTATATTACTTCGCATAGCACCCTAAGACAGGACGATGGGAACGAAGTCCAGGAAGTTGCTGCGGTCTGGAGTCGTATTCAAGACCTACGTTGCCATGGTAACAGAAATGCGTCACAGTTGCTGCAGGTGTAGCGGCGGCAGCTCCTTGATCGCTACTATTTCTAGACCAGTAAAATGATAAACTAGCGTGTGTGTTATTATTCATCCTCTGTCCTCGCCTAACTAATAAGCTAACGGCCTCTCAGTAATCTCGTATCGCACTCATCGAACATCTCGCTTGCTCCTTCGTTCTGTATTTATCTTAGTATCTTTATTGTTTGTTTCCAAGTACACTTCTTGTGTAGCCTTTGTTATTCCTTGTTTTCACTTGAGCTTCTTCGTTGCTTTGTAAATATCTTATAGACTTTGTTATTCCTTTTTCTCGTACACCTTTTCGTTGTGTAAATATTTTATAGCTTTTGTTATTCTTTGTTTTCACGTAGACTTCTTCGTTTTTGTGTAAATATCATATAGCCTTTGTTATTGCCCGTTTTCACGTAAACCTTTTCGTTGCTTTGTAATTTTGTTAGCGTCTTCGTTCATCCACGTTTGCGAGTGCGCAAGTATTGATATCTGCGACTCGAGTTCTTGGCATGCAACTCTTCAACTAAACTCGCGTGTGTTGAAAGGTTGAGCTTACGTGCATGTCAGCATTATCCTTCCTGTTTAAAAAACTGCGTTCTTTATTTATTATATTTCTTGCAATTACCTGGCCATGTCAGATGTGAATTTTATCGCCAATTTTCATTGTTTCGCGTGAGCATCGAAATTCAATTCATTGCTTAGCACTTTATTTCATTTCATTACTCAGCATTTTTTTCTTAGTTGAGTTGTCTCACGAAGCGTTTTTCACTCGTGCTAATTGCCTTGTAAACAATCTATTTTTCCGACTCCGTGCATTGATGTCTTTCTACTTCTCTCTTATCCACTGATAGGTTGAACGTTTAGCTGTTTAATGGACCATTGTCTTGGAGCCAACAAACTCTGGAAGCGATAACTTGTGTTGCAAGATAAGGTTCTTGATAACCTCGAAAAAATTTTCACGTCTGGGATAGTTTTTCATTATTTTCGTTTCGAAATTGTTTTCTTACCTACAAAATTTTCTGAAGCTTTTTCGGGTTTATTTAGCGCTCTCATGTTGAACGTGGCTCGCTCCCATCTGAAGGCCACATCAGGCCTACACTTCAGAGCCGACATCACTATGTTAATAGCGCCATGCGTCGAAGTTGAGAGGCCTGTAGAAGGACTTTAAACTTGTTTTTATTAACTTTGAATGTATAAAATAGGCACACGTGTGATCTCAACGATGCATTATTCAATTTTGACATAACTTGAACCTAATAACAAACATTTGATCTGCAACCTGCATTTTAAAACTATTTGAACTGCAAATGTATAAACATTACACTCAGTCGGGAGTTGTGGTATTCATTTAGATGAATTTCTCTTATTTCCATTGTACCTCATTCATGATTAGGTAAAAACTGGGCAAATAAAGGCTTTGAGCCTGACACATTGCTAACGGCCGTTCATACACGTAGAAAAATCAATTGGTTATATTGACCAATTAGTTACACTCGTTACCCACAGCACCAGCAGATAGCTGCTTAACGCAGATGCACCTTATGCCGGGCCAAGTTGGGTCAAAATGACTAACCCCAGAAAAGAGTGCATCTTTATTTGGACAACGTCTCACTTATATCTCTGAGTGTGACATTTTAGAGGGGGTGATCGAACTCTTATAAATATGACGTACGATGAAGTTTTGGGTGCCTTTCAACTATAACATCTGTCTCGAATTTTGTCTGTAGCACCACCTGGATTTATAGCATCTGATATTTTATTGAGGTTTGTTAGATGAGGTAAATACGCGTGACTGATTTTTATTTGTGAGGAAATTTGAAAATATAAAAAACAGCTGTTTAGACCTGTTTGGACTTGGATACATGTGTACTTTTTGAAAATTTCACATTATATTTGTTGTACTTAGTTTATTTGTGATCACAATGAATCGTATTTAGCCTACATGGGCTCAAGAACCATGAATTCTTCGGTCATTACCTGGATCGCCTGAAGGCAGTAAATTCAGTGCGATTTTTCTGAAAAAGGAAAAGGAGTGAAGTATGTAAAGACGAAGTTCATTTATCGTAATGGCCGCCACTCCCTGCAATTAGCTATTTAATATTGTGATTATATACGGTAACTGTATATACAGTTACCTTTCATACGGTAACTTCTGTTACCAGACGTTTGGGGTACGAATAGCATTGATGATTAGTATGTATCAGTACACAGAGTGGAAGATAATAATAGATAAGGGGGAAAATGAAATTACAGGTACGATGATGCACGATCATCCGGGAGTGTTAGCGTAAAGCGAGTTTGTTTAGCAAATTGAGGACATTTAACGGACCTAATTTTTGGGGGTTAAAAATTGGCATTTTTTATGACGTCTCGATGACTGAGTTGAGAGAAAAAATGATGGAAAAAGGCTGAAACAGTGGTTTTATTTTAATAATTATTTAGCAAAAATATTCGGCCAAAATATTCATCTATTAATTATGTCTATTATTATTCATCAGTGACATTTCAGTGCATTTTGTAGAATATTTTTTCAATATCGATGTATTTTACCAGAAGTCAAAGAATTGTAATGGAATGATCATAGTTATGCAATTTAATTGCAGTCAAATATACAGGAATATTCATAATCTATGTATTTTACTGGAATAATCATAAATTTAATTAATTTTCTGGTATTTCACTGAACGTCAAGGAATTTGCTGGTATAATCGTAGTCGGTTGTATTCTAATAGAAGCCTGTCAAACGGCCCCTGTTCCGATGCATCACTAAATACGTGTAAATACGGTCAAATGTATGTATAAATACGGCTAAATACGGTGAATTGTACATGTAAATACGGCTAAATACGGTGAATTGTACATGTAAATACGGCTAAATACGTTGAATTCGTTGCAGACTCACGGGGGGCGACACCCCTGCAGTGGTCGGAGGGGGGTGGGGGGTACAACACGCTGCCTCCGCGGCTCCGGGGTCCGCGGTCCGCCAGGCCGTCAGAGCGGCGGCGGACGGCGGACGAGGAGGACGTCGCGCACGACGACGTCCACGACTCCGCCAGCGTCGGCAGTGTCGACCGCGGTCAGATTTTGTTGGATGTAAAATTTTGTTATCCGTTATTGACATTTTGTGTATTAATAATGGTATTTACTAGTAATGTGGTGTTTATTAGTAATATGCTATGTTTTAGTACGTAATTTGTATTTATTATCAACTTACGATTTTTTCGTAATTCGGTTATTTATCTGGAATTCTTTTTGTAACGATATTCTTTATCTAATTTTGACTCTCGATTATATTTTATTCAATTAATTTTCTACGCTAGGATTTTAGTTATTCTACAAACTGGTAATTTTTATACAACTTCAATTATATCAGTCTTTGTATGCAATTTTTATACATTTGTTTTGGCTCCGCTATTTCCACTCACAGCTTCGAGTTTAAACCAATCGCTAACAATTAAAATACACTTATAAAATCTGGCAAGCGACCCCGCCACACTTGTGCCCCGCAGACCCCATCCCGATCCCGCCATAGCTTTCCTTCCCCGCAGAGTCCACCGCCAGCGATGTCGGGAGTCGCGGTCGCCGCCGCCCGCGTCGGGGCCGGCGGGGACGTCGGGGTGGCGGGACTGGCGGCGGAATTGGTGGCCAATCCGACCAAAAACCGCCATTTTTCGACGACAAACAGCCTTCTGAAGCTCCACAAGTGACCTCCGATGATCGGCAACAGAAAACCGAAAATTTTGTTAAGCAGAAGCAGGAGGAAGTGGGGCCTAAGACAAAGGTTAGCCGAGGGCCCCCTAAGGAGACCCAGCTCGGCCCCGAGACATTCAAGGACTCTGCCAAGGCCCAGCCTAAGGCTACCACTAACGGAAACTAGAACCCATCAGAACGCGTCACTTCTGTTTGGTTCTAATACCGTAACTTTTACCCTCGCTTGTTGTCGTGGCAGTACAAGTTAGGGTTTTTCTGCCGCAATAACATCATGGCATTACATGTCAAATGAATGGCGATAAAGCCTGGATTGAGAGTGACGACTAGTCTGGATTAAGATGAAGACAAAGTCTGGCTTGAATGTGACAACTAAGTCTGGCTTGAATGTAACAACTAAGTCTGGCTTGAATGTAACAACTAAGTCTGGCTTGAATGTAACAACTAAGTCTGTCTTGCATGCGACTATCAAGTCTATGTTGAATGTGACAATTAAGCCTGGCTTGAATGTGACAACTAAGTCTGGCTTGAAGATGACAACCAAATCTTTTGGCGAAATGGCGAAGTTACATTTGAGAATGCCAACCGAGAGTTGCTTTGAATAACATCCGTTACTCCTGGTATAACGTGCTATATATGCCGCCTATAACTGACAATATAATAATTTTGCTTTTGTCACAGTGAAGTCCACGTTTCGCTCAGAGTGCGATGCACCAGTAAGCTCAAGCTTTCTCCAACTTCGGTGGTTTTTCCTAGTGATTTTGCAGCTTCGTGTCTAGAAATGTTAATGAAACAAGAAGAGATTTAAAATAATGCTTGTATTGAGAATAACGACAGGCTTTCTCTCAGAATTTCATGAATACTTTCGTAAAGTGACCATCTTGGAATACAATACTAAATTTCTCACCTCGCTGATGGAAGAAAGAGCAGGTTCGCTGATAATATTTATCGTATCGCTGTCCTTGTTAACGTTCTAGCCCATAACTATGATGTTAGAAGTGAAGCCTGCCCACTCGTCGGCGCCATGTCCTCTAACGCGTCTTGTATGTTGATGAATGATGGTAAATGCTCTTTAGAATTGTTCATCTTCGTTAACCGCGGAAGCTTGTATTCATCTGTGTTAACCAATTAAGCTTGCCTCTTGCCCTCAATATTGAACATCGCACTGTGCACGACGGTTTGTAAACGCAATTTTACGCTGTCACTGTCAGTATTTTTGAAGTATCGGAGTAATTTTTAAATTTCCAGAATCATTTATTACTGCGAGGAAGGTCTTTCCGAGTTCAAGTTCTTCGCCGAGTTCAATTCCGATGTCATGTTGCTCCAAACTCTGGTCTCTGATGTAGACTTTTTCTAGTATATGCAGCAAGTCTTAGTTTTGAGCTTAGATTTGCTTGTATTTTAGTCCGGTTCCTCATAAGGAACTTGGCTACAGTTCCTGAATCACATGGTCGTTTGGAGGTTTACTTCATCGATAATATTACTGTTGATTCTTTGATGTTCTTCTAAAATTATGGGTTCAAGTTATAATCATTTTTCAAGACCGAGTTCAGTCTTCTTCTGAATCGCAATGAAATTCATGAGCTCATCGATCAGTTTAAACACGATCTTCAATTGCCGTATTCATGAACTTCGGAGGGAGACTTGAGCCAGTAATTAAGCCACGGGAACGACCATCGCGAAGCTGCTTCAACCGACGTTCTGACGTTGCTTGCCTACGTTGACGTCCGACAAAGCTACCAGGCGTAATAAAAGCATACTATTATTGTGACGTTAAACGTTCGACTCTTTTCGTTCACGTTGTCCAGTTATCATGTTGCTTGTTTTTGTTTGTTTATTTGGAGACATGTTGCATCTTTTGTACTGAGTATCGTATCGATGTCAACAAACTCTCGTGTGGAAAAAGGAATCGATTTAAAACGTCAATGCTATTTCATTTCTTTTGAAAAAAAAATTTTTTTTTGAGGAGTACCATTAAATTTATACTACCAGCTTCTGGTAGCAACCAGTCAGGATTTACACTGTCATAAAATCGTTCAGCGTTGTTAAAATGTTTTCGTTTTGCACAGTAGCCTTTCCGTAGAAGGAAAATTATTATTTCCTGATTATTTCTCACTGTGCGTCTATTTTTTGAATGAAGGTTCGAGTTTGTTTACTTGAGCTAACCCTTTTTCCTGTATTAGAACATTTGTTGCTCAGAGAGTCTCTTAATCTCTCGAAACTTCTGTGTTGTCAATCTTTGTAAATGTAGGATGCAAGTCATGGCAAGCGGGTCTGCATTTCATATTACCTATGAATTTAACCTATTGGCCAGGATCAACCATTTACACTTAGTTTGAAGATAAGGAAACGAATTTTTCTGCCGGCGATTTCATGTTCTTTTTCGGGGACTTTAGACCAAAGACCAGTCCGCCACACCAGAATTTTCACGAACCTGGCCTTGTGTGACTATACTAACCTCGGCTAGTGTTAGTATAGACACTAACTATACTAACTACATTCGTCAATTTGCACGAAGAATGAGTCGTCAAATGCTTGGATAAACGATTATATTAACCTTAATCACTTCAGGTGCTAGCGTGTGTTCCTCAAATGCATCGGTTGTGGCACGGTTTAAGGTCACCTGAAATGATTAGGGTTAATTACAAAGACTGGAAACAAATGTATACTTTCGCGTTTCCATGAACACAGAAAACTTTTTGAATGAATTGAATTTTGGTTGTGGCTTTATTATAGTTTTTCACCTATGGAACATTTGTATCAGGCCCTAAATGACTATACATGCTTATCAAAGAAACTATGCACGAAATCGCGGCATAGTTCTTGGTTTTTTTAGGCATTTCTTTGTACTGCACTTAGTATATTAGTTACTCAATAAAGCCCTACTTGATGAGATGTAATAGTTATAATAGATACGCAGATCTTGTCTTATAATGAGACGGAATCTACGTTCTCATTGCAACATTTCATGGTTACGGTTAGGTTAATGAAGCCTTTCAAAGCGAACACTATCTAGTCTGTTCATCATGCATTGTTTGAGCTTTGAGTTGATGTTGATGTCGAACCTTGGGTTTTACATCGAATAAAATGTGCCATTATTCGATGCCTTTGACATAGGAATAATGCGCCACTGATTACGACTCGATTTTTTTTGGTGTATGTGAATGCTAATTACACTTGTTCACTTTGGGTTCTCTGAACAGGATTATTAATTTTCTTCGACTATCAATGCTACTATTGCGATAAAAACGAAATGAATGAATGTCAGAATCGCGCTTTCGGGCTGGTAGCTTCTGTTTTCCTCCTATACGTTTATTTGTGTGCCAGGGACTTTACATCATATTAAAGGTGTGCTCCCGAGTATTTTCACAAGATTCTCCAAAGTACGTCACGGAAGGCCTGTAAACGCTGAAATTTGGTTTCGTAAGCCACTTTCTTATTAGTGAATGACGAATATTCAGTCGTGAGCGAACCACGTTCGTGTTTGTGAATGACGAATATTCAGTCGTGAGCGAACTACGTTCGTGTTAGTACATGACGGATCTTTAATCGTGAGCGAATCACGTTCGTCATGGTGAATGACGAATATTCAGCCGTGAGCGAACCACGTTCGTATTAGTGGATTATAATTATTCAATCTTGAGTTTATCACGTTCGTGTTGGTGCATGACGAATATTCAGTCGTGAGCGAACCACGTTCGTATTAGTGGATTATGAAAATACAGTCGTGAGCGAGGTTCGTATTCAATTTTTCATGTGATGCAAGGTAGCTCAGTGTCGCCTCTCGCTCGATTAGCTGCGTCACTGCGGTTGCATCGAGCTGTTCTTTTGATCGTTTTAAAGGATTGAACAATAAAGAATCTCAAGTTGCGTTCATACTTCTTTTTCTTTCTTTGGAAAATTTAACACTAAGTTAGGCTTTTCGTTAAACTGTGTTGGGTTTAGAGGAAATCGCAACACTCGAATTTTGAAGAAACTCCGAATATTTTTGATCCATGTGATAAAGTTTCCGTACGGATGTCATGTCATCATTTCTACGATCGACATGATGACTTTTGGACTTTCTAAACAACTTCCTGAACTATTGATTTTTTTAGACATGTGTTTATCACTTACTAGAAAAACTTTTTTAGTCAGCTACTCGATATAATCTACTGTTCGATGAATCTCCGACTTGCGACCGAACAGCGGCGTTCACAGTATAATTTTTGCAATCGGATTCGACGGGCATGTTCTCTCGTAAGCCAGATGATAAAAACAAGCAACTGATGAAAAATCTATTTAGACCGAGTGAAGATAAATAGTCCAGTTAGTATATGACATTACTTATTAACGATATAAATCTTAGTCAAAAACAACCACAAAAGTAAAAATTTTCGTCTTTATCGATACGCTAGAAAAGTTTTTCCTTGAATCTCAAAGCGACAGAGAAGAGAATCAACACCTGAGAGGCTAGACGGCTGGAGGGTGATTCCCATGGTTGAATATAGTTCAACCATGGTGATTCCTCCTCTAAGCAATAATTCCTCTTTCCCCTTCTTACCCCTCCCCCCCAACCACTCCTAATCACGCCCTCACAATAATCATATTATAGTCAAAACAGTGTTTTCTTATGTTTACTAAATGTTCTATATTTAAATGCTTTCATTAGTGCTTCTATTTCTATTTAGCTCTCATTTTTAACTATTATTATATAAGAAATATACCTATATAGCCTGTATCTTTCGTATGTTATCGAGTCAAGAAGCCAATTATATACATTTCCATTGCTTCTTATGGGAGGAATTACGGTATTTCGGTTACAAAGTCGAACTTAATGGAACGGATTATTGTCGTTCAGCGAGGTTGTACTGTAATCCATTTGAATATTTACTAATTAATTAGATTAATAAGCAGGCAGCATGCGTATCAGAACTTATCAACCCTTTGATTTATAAATAATATGGCTATATTCTTAGAGCATCAACGCCACCTGTCATTCAAATGAAATTTCAAGGCAATAATTCTGAATGCGCAAGAACATTAAACTCGAGATGATACAACGTATATCTAGAAAACCACAATATTCATTTACCCTCTTATAAAAATTGATATAGCTGCGTGGAAATAATTTCGATACCTACCTCGACATATTCTGATGATTTTCCAGTTTGTTTCGTAAATCGGCAAATTTACAGGCACTTACGTGAACGCATATGTGGCACATATGTTCCGCGTTGCAATGAGTTAGCTAGTTAGCGTGAACGAAGTAACGTGCAGCGAGAGTCGAAACAAGACAACTGCGCAACAGGAGAGAAACCTCAGCGATCTATTCGGTCTCCACATTCGCTGAAACTTGTAACTGCAATCGTTTGGAGATGGCTGACGTGCCCGAAGATGTTGAATCAAAAGCAGGACATCCTGCTGCAAGTGAGAAATATTATCATAGTTTGTATTCATGCAGAAATTGATGAAATAAATATAGTTTAACTGAGTTGCTTCTCGGAAAGTGTTACTATTACTATTAGGTATTTGAATTCTTCGCACGTTTCGGTGTGGAATAACCGCGATGAATTAGGATTAAAATATTGAATTAAATACCATGGCAATGTCTATGTCACTAGGTCATAATATATATTTATATATATATAAAGAATAAAATTAATCTTGACGATCTTTCAGAACTAGGGTGTCATAAACATTCCTATTTATTTCAAATTTATAATGAAATGTCAAATGAGGAATCTGAACACAGTCCTGAGTTAATTGTTCTTTGATCTCGTTCCCAGACCGCAGACGTCTTGCCTCCAAGCCTTAAGATTTCATCTTTTTAAGCCTAAAATTTAAGGACACCAAAAGGCAAAATAGTATTATTGAAGCCGTAATATTTCTAATTTACTCAAAATCTATTATTCTGAAGCTGCAAATGACAGATCTTAGTAAAATAGTTCAATTTTCAATCTTGTGCATGGCAGCTTGGGTAGCTACCTAGCTGTACCGGTAGCTCTTCTACTAATTAACTATTACAATTTCTCAGTACCTATTTTTTTTTGGAAAGTCTGCAAGCTGATGCCTGCAAATCATGATATTGATATTATTGCCTTACTTAAACTATTACAAACGATATTATAGCTCCTATATGTACCAATATCATGAGCATGAGGCATGAGTTCATGAATTTTCCAACCTTGCATTAGGCTAGTGAAATTTGTTCTAACTCCTAAGTTGCATACCTAATTGCATTGTTGATATATAGATTGATATAACTAGCCAGAAATCTTATTTTTACAGCCTTAAAACAATTTTGCCCAAGCCATGATATTGAATCATGACAAATTGACAATTGAGTATTAGTCTACTTACTCTACTATCAGTATCAGGAATGTTTCTTTACTCAAGTTAAGGTGTTTTATGTTTATCCTATGATATCAATGATAGGTAAACCTAAAATAATTCTTTTTATGGGGCATTTGTGCAGTGTGCACAATAATTAAGGACTTAAGTACATGAATTTTTGACTGTGTGCAATGGTATACCTATTCTAAGAATTTCTTGCTCCTGAAGTCCAGCTGAACTGACTTAACAAAGAGTCACAAGGCAGGACAGCATCATTATCATTCCTCCTATTTCAATTTCCTTCAATGAATGATTGTTCAATAGTGACAAAAAAATTAATAAATTAAGTTGCCAAATATACTTGATCTGCAATGTCTTTTCTTAGTACTCTTCTCATGGCAAAGAAAATTAAAATAATTAACTTCATGCTTAGTTAGCTCAGAACATTTTCTATGGTCTATATGAATGATTCAGATTTCAGAGGGCATTGGCCCTGGGCACAGGTTTATGTGTCTACAAGTAGTTATTGCCATAAAATTTGGAAACTGTAAGAATTTCACTTATAATTTATAAACTTTTCAATTAAATTTACCTATTTTTTATTAAATTTTTAGAATTTTCAGTTTCAAATCCAGTTCAATTGAAATTTTTTCCATGTGCTTTTAAAAAAGTTTCAATCAGAAAATTATAGCATAAGAATTGGTTAGCAATAATTCAAGAGATTGAAATAAATTATTCCAATGCTTGTTTAGGACTTTTTTGATGTCTTTTAATGAATCAATATTTGTCTACATTTTCTTTGTGATTATTATCATTTAAAAGCCTGAAAATTTTTCTAATAAAAACTTGTTTAATCCCTCTTATGTAAATGTAAGACATTTTTACACAATTTATGTCCAGTGAAAAATTAAATGACAAGTCTGTCACAGACGATCATAGAATGATCAAATTATAAAACTTCTGTAAATCACATTTTTTGAACTCCCACCAGGCACACTTTGAAATCCTTTAAGATATCTATGAAATGCTTATGTTTTTAATTCCCTCTTCAGTGAAAGTTGGTGGTGTGCGAATCCCCCACCGCATGCGTAAGAATTCCGAAGAGGTGGCAGCTAAGGAAACGGTTGCTGTTGAGGAGGACGAGACTGAGGAAGTGGTAGCTAAGAGGTAACATTCCCTTCCTTTAGTTTAAACAATAAATTTGTTATGTTGAGTTGTAATTTTTGTCCTTGTTTTGGTTTTTATGTACATTGTTTCCTGTCATGACCTTCAGAACTTTTAATTTATCTTTAGTAGGTATAATGATTAATAGATATAACCTAATTTTTTTATCACATGGCTTTGCCAAGCCAAACTTGGAGTAGAGCTGCTCTCTCTAAGAGGTTTTATTACCAATAACATGAGGTACAGTATATATATATGGATTCTTGGTATGGTATGCATAAAGCTAATGTGACAATGGTTGGAGTGTTATAGAACTTTATCACAGATATTTTTGTATGTGGCATGTTCATGTAGTTCTCTCATCTTGCTGATGAATTTCAGAATTTTGTGATGTGGTTTTAAATTATCTACACCGAGAAGTTGTTGTATGCTAACTTTTTTGATTATGACACCTTTTTTGGTTAATATTTTTTACATGCATCAAATTGTCCAAAGTTATACAACAAGCTGCAGTCTGCCTTATGTAATAGTTTATGCATTTATTGTGTTTGTTTGTAACTGAATCCAATTTAGCAAGGGTCTTGTGAATTCATGCATGTTTTAATTTATACAATCTTAAAAAAAAGTTGTAATCCTGAATGTATATAATCTTCTGCTGTTCCATTCAGTAACAATTGTTAAAAGCCAAATATTCAACATGGATATTAATTATATAATAAATAGGCATAAGTTTTATGAAATTTATTGTTGCTGGTAAAAGCTAATTATTTTACATGAATATAAACTAAATACACAATAGGCAATAGTTCAATGAAATTTATTGTTGCTGTTGAAAGCTATTTATTTTGCATGACTATAAACCAAATACTCTATAGGCAATAGTTCAATGAAATTTATTGTTGCTGTTAATAGCTAATTATTTTACATGACTCTAAACCAAATACTCTATAGGCAATAGTTTGATGAATTCTATTGTTGCTGCAGCAAGGCGCCTCAAGTTGTGATGTGGGGACAAGTCCGTGACCCTCAGAAGGACTACCCATCACAAGCAGTCCAGCACATGCAGCAGAAGCCCACGCCAACCAACGAACCCCACAACAAACCTGCTTCTGCCAAGCCTAACGTCATCCAGCAGCCCAGGAAGTGAGCTGCTATGCCTCAACCCATTCACAGCCTGGCCTTTCAGTTGCAGGCCTCCCGTTAGGAATAATTGAAGTCAGGTGTTGGTTTATATTTGATATTAAATTTCTGCAATACTTGAAAGTTTGCCAAATCCTATTGTAAAAAATAAGCCGATATTTGTCAACAGGAAATGTGGCTCGTTAGTTCAATGCTGTTAAGGTAGCTTAACATCGCTTGATGTCTGCACTGTTATACAAGCATGCAATGCCTTATATTCAATGACAATGTAACAGCTGTCAGCAAATAATTAACACGTTTTTCTTAGCTTAGCTTCGCGTTTGTTTGTTTGTTTATTTGTTTGTTTGTTTGTTTGTTGTTAACATTGACAACAAAAATTAGCCCACTTCTGATTGTTCTAGAGACCTGAAATTCGACATGCAGGCTATTTTCGCCTAACAATTTCAGATACAATCATAAAAACTAGTAATTAGAGACCGAAATTAGTTTAATTGAGTAAAGTATATATATAGTATATATATAGTATGACGTGCGGGCGCTCACGTTATAGACGAGCAGGCGCTGACGCTGCGTATCATCGATACGTACGTCAAGTCATACTTAATCATGTCTTAATCGTTTTTCTTGTTGACTAAAAAGTAAAAAATAAAATACTTAAAAAAAATTTTTTAAAAAACCACGTTTTTCATGTGGACTAAAAAGTAGAAAATAAATTATGGTTCGCCCCAAAAAAACGTGGGTCGGGCTGTACGTTCACCATCAAATTTCCAAAATTTAAGTGTTGTGTGCTTTTCGCTTTAATCATAAATCTGCCCGACACACGTTTTTTTGGGGCGAACCATAATTTATTTTCTACTTTTTAGTCCACATGAAAAACGTGGTTTTTTAAAAAATTTTTTTTAAGTATTTTATTTATTTACCTCTGGATGTCTGATACTGGGATCCAAATTGCCTATTAACTTTTTTCTTAGCCATGTCTCTGGTGAAGAATCAACATTCCTAAGTTTGATCTTAAAATCAGCAAGTATTGCACAAGTGTATCCTTAGTCACTTTCGCTAAATTATTTCAGTATATTTTTAGTGACAGTTATTCAACCGGAATGCATTGAATTATGATAGAGAACCTTCCATTTAATGGTGCTCCTTCCGTAAGGTCATGGGTACTTATTTTCTATTATTCTAGCTCTACCGACGGGAAGTTGTAGATGGCAAAGTTGTGGAGAGTACACCTTTCTTTATTGAGTTGAATTACTTTTATCGTTGCTTTGGTTTTTAGTGTTAAGGCATTGTTGGGGCTGTGCGACTTTGGCGTTCCTCACATTCCATGTATATTCCCTGGAAGTGTCTTACTTGTGTGTTCTTCATTTATCAGTTAGCAGAAATGTTGCTTGATCTTTCATATACTTGGGTTTATTTTGTGTAAAATCATTTTGGTATTTTGCATACAGTTCTTCAATTTATAGCGACGTTCCTTGAATAAACGCTGGCTTTTGGAGACACACTCTGATTAAATTTGTAACCAAGAAGATTTTCATTTCGTTTTTTGATCACTTCAAGAGGATAAAGTTACTCTTAATGGGTGAACAAAGCCCATAAACTTCATATTTTGACAGTTGGAATTTTTTTTCTCTGCAAATTTTTTTTGCATTAGGTTCTCCAACTTTATGATAACAATCAAACAATTTTAAATTCAGTAACTTAGGTTGAGGATTATTTTCTTTCGTTTACCAAGACTAAGCCTGTAATTTTTACTTGTCATTGGCATGTGACCACGGTGAATTTACATCTCTGCCCGTTATGTTAATTCAACTACTTCATTTTTCTTGTCGAATTATTGATTAGATTCAAATCCTATAACATTTAGTACATTTATATTCAAATTATCGAAGTAACGTCGAATACCGCAGCTTTAGGAGACAAAATTCCAAGCATTTATTACCTACATACAGCTCAATAAGTGAAACGGCCACAACCATCTCCATTGCTTAATACTAGTGCAAACTTGGTATGGCGAATCATAGATGTTTACGCGTTCCTTTGAATCTGATGTCAAGAGTGCAGAGCTAATCTACTGTTACACACTATGATCTGTGCAATTTTATTTCTTTGAAGCTTCACCAACGCAAGTGATTGATACGTTTCTGGTTCAAGAGTCTTTATAAATTGAGTAAATATACTTATGCATGACTATTCTATTGCGTGCAATGTTGGACATTATTAATCAAAGTTTTATTTCTTAACTTCCTTTTTATGACGTCTAGTTTTCTCCGCAATTAAAAGCTATTTTTGTTACGAGAGCGGAGACTAATCTCTTTATTCTTAGTTATTTTGATATAATTCTTTCAAAGGCGGTTTTGTGTTAAGTAATTTGATATCTGTGACTTATTTCTACATCTACCCAGAGTTTGTATTGGAGAATTTATTTAAGTGGCTGCACAAGCCTTAATGTGCTTATCCACACTGTCTCCTCCTCGATTCTTAAGAAGAATATGAGCTCAGGACGTTTTTGATGTTTTATTACTGATAAGAAGTTGGTAAATTTTGAATGTTTACTGGAAAAAACAGTCTTTTATTTATGAAAGTCCTTGCCTTTCGTTATTTAAACTCCGTGAATTGCGTCAGCTTAGATGGCTTCAGGATATAGATTTAAGCGTGTTTCTCCATTGATCTTGCTGGTGCAAGTTTATTTTAAATGTAAATTAGGAAGTACGATTGGAGTGAATGAATATACGGATATCCCTGAATTTCGTCAAATTGCTGTTATGTGCGAGGGCTTTAGGGGTCAAAATTCAAGGTGCTGACAGACTGAGCAACATGGGTGGGCAGGGTGGCCCAGTGTTAACAGTACAGAGTGCCATGATTGGCGCAGAGAGGTGCGGGTTCGATCGAAGCTCTATGCTCCAGTTTCTGGTCAGAATCGGCGAAGAGGCCGGGCGGGTAGCACTGTAGAATTGTAGCAGTGAGTTGCGAGTTCGAGACCGCAAAATACTGTGAATATTCTGCGATGTTAAGAATCGGCGACAGACCTACTAAACGCTGAAACCGCTATTATTATGTATGGAAGGGGCTGTTGGCATTTACAACAATTAGACAAGCTATTCGTCTCCACTTTCAATATCAAGCGCGGTAAGCTTTCATGTGCACAAGTTTCGAGTATATAAATTGCGTCTCGGAGTTACTGCGTCCACACTGCTTCGTCATGTCTGCGAACCTTAGTAGCAGGTCAGCCTCGGTCTTCTAATGTTAAGACAAGTCTTCTAATTAAAGCACTGTCATTTTTAACTCTAAAGCATCTCACAAACTCCATTATAGTTTTTCTGGTAGAAGATAATGGATCTGTGGGCTGTTGCACGAGACGTTACATCTTGTTATGCTGCATGATTGTACAACTTGACAATCGAATCTCGTGTGTGCACTGTTTTACTTATGTAGCCTAACAATTGGTTTAACAAAAGTGACTCCAGTATTCAGTAACTTGAAGAAGTATGGTCAACACCTGGTTCACTAGAATTTACGAGTAATTTTTTATTTCCTCGCTGTTTTTAGTACTGGCATATGTTTCAGAGAACACTACCGATCTTATTTTCATCTTGCCTTGTGCCAGAGATTGATGACTCTGCACAAGTCCTAACCAAATAAGTAATCCTTGCTGAGCTGGTGAATAAAGTTGATACTTTAAACTTGAGATTGCAGATAAAAGCATTAAGTATTAATCAGTGAAGTCTTTCCCCAGAAAAAAAAAATTAGAATCGTGCATGTTTCCTATGACAAGTGAAGAAAAAAAAGTTTACAATACCTAATTTTTCTCCGAGTAAAATAAAAGGAATACAAGGTTGTAAATGAAGAGGCATGCATAAACTTGTCTAAGCAACACAATAAAAAACTTCGATTATTAAGTTTACACTATTAGTGCTTCATCGATTGGAATTAACATAAACGAAATAATGCTAATCAGTTCCAGACAGTTCAAACATGAATGCTAATTCTTTCACACTTGTGACTTGTCCCGAGTTCCGACAGTCCCGTTTTTGCTTCTCTGCGGACATCTCTTGCTTCTACATTTTGCCGTAGCATGGAGAGTTTGAAAATGACGCGCTGATTGAGAATTTGAGATTGTGAGAGAAGGAAGTTCTATGCTCGCGCTCGGAATTTCGGAAATATTTTAATTTTATTACTCTTTCTAATAAGCCTTGTGTTACTTTAGTGACTGTAATAAATAGAATTTTCTACTATTCACTAAATCACTATTATTCTCTTTATCAGTTTATCTAGGTTTGCTCATTCAAAAATTGTGTTAGCTTACAGTCTTGAGTCTTGCACAGAAGCCATGGTTAGCCACCCTCACCGGGGGGCGGGCTCACCCAGACTGGGTGAGCCCAAACAAACCAAGGTAGTGTGGTGAGCCCAAACAAACCAAAAAATAGTGACAAACCAAGGATTTTTTAGAATCAGTTCATTTTTAATTTCCTCATTTACTTATAATTTCAACCAATTTTTTATGTGTATTGTGTGATAATGCAGGTATCCAGGATACTTTACTGGTCTACATATAATGATATAGGACTCTAAAATGAACTTGAGGGAGAGTCTAAAAAACTCTCTGCTTTGCCACTATGGCCCTATGGGTGACCCAGTCACCCATGGGCCATGGCCAATGGCCATGACCCTGGACAGGCTGGTTAGCTACTATATTACATAGTACCTATGATAGTGGCAAAGCTGCCAAAGCAGAGTGTTTTTTAGATTCTCTCCTCAAGTTCATTTCTGAGTCCCATAAGTAGACCAGTCACCAGTTGAGTCCCATACCTAACAACATTATCAACATGAGTCATGAGTTGAGCCGGATGTTGTTATTCTGCTCAAAAAACAGCAAGGCTGCAAGGCATCATCTAACATGATCTAAGCGGATGGTGGATGACAATATACCGTCAATCGGGGTAAAAAGAGACGGTTTTGAGCGTTTTTTGTTAATAACTTCTTACCATGAAGTATTTCAGAAACAAGTTTAGGCTCATTTCATAGCTCTTTGCAAGGGCTATTGAATGGCCTCTTTAAAAAAATTCCATATGCTATTTGTAAGGTGCCAGACACAAAATAGAACCAAGATGGAATTCTAATTTCGGAGGGTCATATATTATTTCGATCCACCAAGACCACTTCTTCTATCCAACATTGTTATTTGAGGCAAAAAATAAACTTCTTAAAGGCTTAAAACACGCACGCTAACTTGCTCAGTTTCTATAAAGTACCTAATTACTTGGAAGTTGTAAACCTGCATCTATCACTCAACAATTAAAATTAAACTTATAAAAAGTATTAGTTAGTTGAAAATTTGTCTCTTAAGTTGACCGCAATGAACTAAACTTCATTAAGTAATTATAGCTACGCTGCAAAGCAGAGTTTCACACACACGCACACTAAACATTATGCACACTAATTGACTAAACACGCAATTCAGAGTTCAGACAAACAGAACTATATATCACGTGGGCCAGCAGCCGCCAGCTTGCAACTGAATTAAATAGGTACCTACTAACTTATTTCCCGCTCCCGGTGCATTTCTAGCGGGTTGATCAATCGTATACTTAATTCATATACGATTGTATATGAATTACGAATTAACTAATCATTCGTGTACTTAGTGCAAGAGAATGAATAATTATGTTGTTTCTGATCAAACAAGCGAAAACTTTTTCTGTTTCTGATCAAACGAACGAAAACTTCTGATCAAACGAACGAAAACTTCTGATCAAACGAACGAAAACTTCTGATCAAACGAACGAAAACTTCTGATCAAACGAACAAAAACTTCTGATCAAACGAACGACAACAAACTTTTTCAAGATAATTCTGAAATTGTAAGCCGTAACGTCTATTGAATTCTATGAATTCTAATACGGATACGATTTCGGAAGTACAGCCGTTTCAAATGTGCTCAGTTCATCAATTTTCATTGCAGTGGAAGGTGGTGTAACGCGGTGGTAGGGTTGGTATTTCGATACGTTTTCTTATATTGACATGAGAATATATTACCTATACAGAATTCCACACTGAATAGAACTGTCCCAAATTACTCCTGGCCCTGGGAGCAGGGTAATCCTCTTTCCTTGTAGTCAGTTGTAGATGATATAGATGTTAAATTTTACTTGTTTTTCCTTTATTGATGATATAACCTGATAACCATATTCATTAATTACTGTATTATTGATGTGATATTAGCTACCGACCTACCGTATCCATGACCATGAACATGCCATTGAGCATTTACAACAACCTTGTCCACTGCAAGCTTCATATCAGCAGCCATCTGAGCCATGTAGCATTTCTTCTGTATCTGTAAGCTTACAGGATGGCTTGTAATTTCACACCATTTTAATTAGGTTAAGTGAACTCACTATAAAAGAAAAATCATAAAAAGCATATCTAAAACGGAAAAGAATGTTTTAGGTAGTGACAACCATCATATGTTTTGGAGAAATAAATCATAGTTTAGGTCAATTACTTTTCATTCTAAGATGCCCAGTGCACAATTCTATATATAGCATTCTAATGATTATATGTACAATTTTGTGACAACCGATGATGCACTAATTTTTTGATAAGTGAATTTTTTTGCTAAGCAAGGTAAATGTACTCAAAATTATTTGTTGTTAATCAATTTTCTTGTTAACTGGAGCCTTTGCTAACTGAGGTTCTGCTGTGAATGCATTTTTAAGGGTGTCCCTCATTAGCCGCCACTTCGAGGGGGGGGGGTTGTACCTTTTTACCCTGTTGTGCGGAAATGGTTGCCATTTTTTTTAATGAGATAGGCAAATTCAAGCGTTTTCAAGCAGACACCTGGGTGCAACTTTCATGTAATTACAATTTTTTAATACGGCAAATATTTTTTTGGCTCCAGACCTTACCAGAGGTACTTTTCCAAAATCGCACTTTTCACATTTTTTTTCAGCGATTTGTTAGAGATAGTAAATGATTGATTTCTTGACTAGCTTTATACATAATAGGTAATAAAAATATTGAAGTTTACGCCACTATTTTTAGTTTTGCAATATTTTGATTAGTTAAGCTGCTACGACATTTCTACGAAATGTGGGATGTGCGTCCCAATTTACCCCACCCGTCTTTTTTTACCCTGTTTGACGGTATGCAGCGAGTGGATGGCAATGTCATCAAGTATGCCAAAATTGATTGCACATTGTCTGGAAGGTGCAGTGTGTGCTCCGGAGGTTTATTTTGGGATGTACTCAAGTATGCCAAAGAAGAAAGTTGCCGATATTCTTGCTACAAAAACGAAAGTGTAACTTTGACCGATGCCTGATGATTGAAATGGACTCGCACGCTTTACATTTGATATTGTCAATGCTCAATGATAGACACAATGTACGTGCATACTGCATAATGATTGATTTGGCCAACACCCGATTATTGACACTGACGCACGCTCTGACATCCATGCGGCTGATGCTCAATTAACAACACAGATGCATGCACTTTATGATCAATGTGTCCTATGCCCCCAGGAAAAATACAGATGCATGCACTTTACAATCAATTTGTCCAATGCCCAAAGATCGACACAGAAGTATGCGTCTTACAATTGGTGTGGCCAATGCCCGATGATCAACAATGATGCATGTGCTTAATGATCAATTTCAATTTGGCCAATTTCTGTTAAGTGACACCGATGAACATGTTTTATGAAAGATGTGGCTGATGCCTGATGATCTACATCAGGAGCATTGATCGCAAGGAATGTGTGTTGGTTTTGATCATTGGGCATTGGTCCAATTGCTTGTAAAGCAAGTGTGTCTGTGTGTTCATCATTGAGCATCGGCCACATTGATCGTAAAGCGCCTGCATCTGTGTCGATCATCAGGCACAGTCAGAGTTGCGATTTTGTTTTTTAGCAGCCTACTGGCAACTTTATTCCCTGGAGTACTGGCCTACATTACAAAATAAACCTCAGCACACATGCCGCACCTTCCAGACCATGGCAATCAGGACGCCAATGTAAGGTCATGATGGCTGATGAAGATCCTCAAAAGAAGCCTATGTAAGGTTGAAGTGATGATGAAGATCTTCAAAAGGTACCAAAATCTTGAGCTAGAAAGCCCTACTCTACCACCTGGGGCATTAACTATCAATCTCTTTGATTGATGTATTAATGAACTGGATTGAATGTTGTGGTGTTAAAGCATTTAATATACTGCATATTAAGTTCACGTTAATTAACATTTGTTTTATTTCTGATGAAGGTTTAAAATATATTTGGACCTTTATGCAAAGAAACAAATTTTTTATTACAACTCTTTCAATCTACTCACTCCTCTAAATATTTTAAATCTAAGTATTTTGTTGTTTCAAAGACTCCATTGACTATAGAACTTTAGTTTTCTCAAGTTTATTAAAGAACAGATTCTGAAATAGTAGGGGGACATTTCCATTCCTATATATAAATGGGATTCATAAAATACTTACCAAATCCATTAAGCATCCTTCAATTTGGGATGTATGGATGACAATTTTATCTTTGTTCCCATGATGCTCATTTTTAACAGCTGCGGATGTAGAAACACATGCCTAAGCTGTTGAACTGATTGATCCCAATGAAACTAAGCCGTTGCATTGGGTAGCTGCACAAGTGTTGCATTGTTCTGCCACTGATTGGTCAAAATAACCTTAGCAAATGTTGAGCATTAAAATCACAAATACCTCTTGCTTAGTTGTTCAGTTGCTGGTCCTATAAATTGTGAAACCATTTCAAATAATGATTATTATATTATTAACCTATCATTAATTTTTGCATCATATTTATCCATCTAGAAAATTATTTATCTAATCTATTTTATTCCTGTATTAAATTATGAATTATTCATTGCAATACTTGCAAAATCATTTTCAGCTCATTCATCCTAGGACAGATAAATATGATATGAACAAATGTTAAGCCGGATTTTTGATAATAAGCTTTATGTTTACATTTTTTATGAAATTCATTACCTTTATTGATCAGTTTTGTTTGTAGTACAATGTGGGCACTGCAGTACAATGTGGGCACTGCAGTACAATGTACACAGTTGGGCACTGCAGTAGACTGTGGGCACTGTTTGTTGTACAATGTGGGCCCTGCAGTGCAATGTGGGCCCTGCAGTGCAATGTGGGCACTGCAGTACAATGTGGGCACTGTAGTACAATGTGGGCACTGCAGTAGAATGTGGGCACTGCAGTACAATGTACACATCAATATGGGCAATGTAGTACAATGTGGGCACTGCAGTACAATGTGGGCGCTGCAGTACAATGTGGGCACTGCAGTACAATATGGGCAATGTAGTACAATGTAGGCACTGTAGTACAATGTAGGCACTGTCAAGCATGTAACACCAGTAGCATGCTAACATGAGCATGCTAAGACCATTCCACTTTTGTTTTGTGCTGCTCAACAGCCTCTGTGCTGTCACCGATTGTGATCCATGACTGACCCAAGCTCTCTGCTTGTTCTCTATTAAACAGTGCAGGAAATAGCATTTATTCAACTCTTATCAGAAAATGCTAATCAAATAAAGATTCCTTCTACAAAAATGTTAATTTGAGCTAATAGTAACCAGAGAAAAACATTGAATTCATTTAATATATTCTAATTCATGCTCATGCTGACTTGTTACGTTGAATAATTTTTCAATAATCAGCATATGAATTCTAAGCTTATTTAAAATAAATAAATTGATAAAGGCCATCCAAATCACACTTGTTATGTTTGTTGGAGATTTTTTCTGTCATGATGCAGAGTACAATTTCATTTTTCTCTCCATCCATTTGATGCAGTTTATCTGTCAATGGATACATTTTAAATTTTATTCATATTCATTGAGTTTTTTTCCCCATTTGAGATTTTTTTCTAATTTCTCTGTTTTACAGGTTCTTCCTTAAATTGCCACTTCAAATTTTCAAAAGGTGACAAATAATATGTCACTTCCTCCAGTAGGCTTGCATTTTTTCAGCTGAACTGATTGATTATTAAGTTCAAGACTTGTTGCAATGGCAGTTCACAATCCATGTGAGTATATTTCAAGTTAATATAATATCAGAAGTTATGAAAACTGATTAAGACTGTGTTTGACTTGAGAAAGTTATTTTTCAAATTTCACCTAGGAAATATGTTTTTTTTTTTAATTCTGTAAAACTAAAAAAGGATTGCTATTAACTTAGCTTAGCTTCATTTACTGAAATTTTATTATCTTTCAGGTTAGCAGCTGAAGTGGGGAAGATATTGGCCTCTGCTGCATCCTTCCCTTTGGACATCTTTGTTGGTTTAAGGATCCTGACCAGAAATTTATCAACAGTGCATTGCACATCTACAAGCCAACATGTGTAGCTTGAAGGATTCACTGCGTTTTTGCATTATTTGACTCGTTTATTTCTATTGAAAGTTAAGCTTAAAAGTTTCACGTTTAAATTCTTGATTAAAACAGTTCTGGTGAAGATGGACATGGAAATGGACTGCAGCTCAGAGGATGGGATAGATCTTTGTGAGGTTCGACGTTCAAGAGCTTGTAAATCTTCCGTCTCAAGTTGCCCTGGTGCTTCATTGCCCAAGAAGAAGAAAGTGGATAAAAATGAGGACTTGAATGTAGAAGAAATCTACAGGCAGCTAAAAGAAGTCAAGACCCGATGCACCTCCCTGGAGACCATCTATGAGTATCCCAAGAATTCCAAAGATCCCAGAAAGTGTTTGATGAGCGCCATGAGGACAAGGAGGTCATGTATGCTCTCTGATTACTATAATCCCAGCAAAGTGAAGATAAAAGCTCGCAAGGAGCGTGCCAAGAGGCTCAAGAGGCGCGGTGTCAAGGTGCCCACTGGAGCTGAGGTTACCACTGAGCAGCTAGAGGCCATCTTAAATAAAATCTCAGATGATGAGGAGAATATTAGCAACAACAGTGAAGTGGTTGGTAATAATGCCAGTTTCAATTTCTTTACCAACAAAGAGGTTAAACTGACTGCCATTAAGCATGTACCATTAGTTCAGGGTTCCTTTAGCATGCCTGAACTTTGTTTTGAAGATAACAGCCCTGCCCCTACTCTTCCCATGCAAGATGAAATTCATGAGGCCAGTCTAGGTATAACTGACGAATCTGAAGAAATAATTGAGAAGCCTCGTCGTAGGAAAGGCCGGCGGTCTGGATGTGGGAAGGATTTATTTCCTCCTTCTTACTGCACGTCTAAAGTTTTTTCAGAGTTAGTAGATTTGAAGGAAGAAAATATGCAGGAAATTGTGGACAAACCGATTACCAATAACTTAGCTATGGTCGAGGAGCGGTCTGAAGAGTTGGATGTATTAGAAGCTTGCAGCCCGGAAAACAAAATCCCCTTTTGTGTTCAGAGTGACGGTATTGAGGTTTCTATTCATAAAAAAAGTTACTGCTCAACCCGCACTGGCACAGTTGAACTCAGTATGGATTTACCAGCTGCCAAGAAAGATTCCTGTCATGGCTTGTTGGCTTCAAGTGGCGTTGGCACCAGAAGATCAAAAAGAAGAGCATCTGGTGTGTGCAAATCTCTTTATGGTTTACTGTCAAGCTGCTCATTGGATTCAATGAATGATAATAATCACTCAGATGACTCTGGCAAATCCCCAAGCAGTTCTCTGGAGGCGAGTTCGTCAACGTGCAGCGAGGCCTCAAAAGGAGTTGAGAACCCCACACCAGTCTTGCCTAGTGCTGTCAAGCCAAAAAACCGCAAACGCAAGTTTGATAGCCACGAAACCACCGTGCTGCTCTCTGGTCAACTGCAGACACTCACTGTGTTTGATGATGTTGGTCAAGTGCCTGTTGGTGAAGTCAACAATGAGCTAGGCCAAGTATTTAAAGATAGGGATGGCAACACGGACAACATCAACCAATCAGAAGTGGTAACTGGAGGAGAATCTAGGAAGAAAATCCAGTCAAGGCGTCGGAGATCGCTTCGCCTTATGCAAACAGGACGGGTGATTTATCATGATACAGATTTATCCCCTTGTGATGTGCTCTCTACCAGTTTTCAACCCTCTGCAGAGACAACCAGTCAAGTTAGCTCTACTGGAGTCTTAAGTAATTCAGATATTCTTGAAGAAATCGGTATAAATGATTCCTGTCAAAATTTAAATCAGCAAAAATTGTCAAATATTCCGAAAATCAGCACGAAACGCGGAAAAACATCAAAATTAAACAAAAAACGCCTCTTGGATAAGTGCAAACCTGACGGTAAGCCAGCGCCTGTCGCACTTGAAGGCAGAAAGAGATCATGTCAACAGCCTTCTCCACAGCACGTTGGCCAGCCTCCTGTGAACTGTAACCTGGCCGATACAAGTGTGCTTCCTGATAATAATCCTGATCTATCCCAGCTTACTGTTCCTGTTTCATCCACACTCAATCATAATCCCGAACCGTCTAAGGTTTCTAACCAGGATTCAACAAGACATAATCATAATGTTTCTTCTAGACCAAAGAGGCGCAGAAGTGTGGCTAAATTGAGCGCCGCTTTGGGTCACTTGACTGTGGGCAGGAATGAGAGCAGTGAAGTCGTCCTTTCCAGCAGTTTATCTGGCCTTCAATTGGACCCTGAAGTTCAGTTGTCAAAAACTCGGCATCCAAAACGTTTCTTCAACAACAGCAATGACGTCGGCCTTGTTGTACCTCCAGCTGAGGTCATCCCAGCACACGTTTTTCACGAGGACTTGAATAGTGATTCTAATGACAGTCCTCGTGATAGAGCAATGGCCATGAAAAAAAGTCCTGATGTGTCGGAGCTTGATTTGGGCTCTAGCAAGGAGCCGCATTCATCTCCAAAGAAAGAAGACTGGCACATTTCACTGACTGGTACAGAATCTAATGCTTTGGGGTCAAGTGGAAAATGCGTATCAACTACAGAACAGTCGTCACCACCCACTAAATCATTGTCAAGGCACCTTGAACCATCTTCACGGCACAAAAAATATTTGCTATTGCAATCAAAGTCTTCAGTACCGATCGCTGAATCATCGGTACAACATGCAGAATCTTCTCTGCCCATCAAAGCTTCGCCATCTCTCCCTCAATCGTCACAATCACTCCGACAATCGTCACCATCTCTCGCTCAATCGTCACTATCTCTCGCTCAACCATCACAGGCTCTCCCTCAATCGTCACCACCTTTCCAACAATTATCACCATCTCTCCAACAATCGTCACCATCTCTCCAACAATCGTCACCACCTCTTCCACAATCGTCACCATCTCTCCCTCAATCGTCACAATCTATCCCTCTATCGGCACAATCTCTCCCTCAACCATCACAATCTCTCCCTCTATTGGCACAATCTCTCCCTCAATCGTCGCAATCTCTCCCTCAACCACAATCTCTCCCTCAACCATCACAATCTCTCCCTCTATCGGCACAATCTCTCCCTCAACCATCACAATCTCTCCCTCTATCGTCACAATCTCTCCCTCAATCGTCACAATCTCTCCTGCAATTGTCACCTTTTCGCTCAGGCGACAAGCCACTCAACTTGAACGCTGACTCGCCTCTGGTGAGTGCAATGTTCAGTAACTCATTGGCTGTTCATGCGGGCAAAGTTTTCCCAAATCGCAAACTGAGCAAGTCTGCAAAAACATCGCAAAAGAAGCTGCTTGCCAAATTTAAAGTTCTTCCACACTAAACTTGTCGTCTTACTTGTCATTTTTGTCGTACAATAAAATTTGAGGCAGCAATTAGCTCGTTATTTTGGTCGTATAATAAAATATGAGTCAGCAATTAACTCGTTATTTTAATCGTACGATAAAATTTGAGGATCTGAAGCGCTAGTAAATCTTTTACTACTACTACTACTACTACTTGAGGAAAAATTGTAATCGTTTCATTTTTTTAACTAATGGATGTTAAAGGCGCGATGTTCTGATAATCGATGCGTTACCAATTGTTATATTTATTTGTGTTTCATTTCTTTATTGTCGGCTGATCTTTTTGACAGCTGTGTCAATCTTTTTTACAGAGGTTGACAATCTACTTCTTGCTTTTATATTTGGATATAATAGGATAAGCCGGTTTCTAAGAATAAATAAAGGCATCGTTTGTAGTTTGTTGTTTTAATAGGTAGTCCTTTGATGTTAAGAGTTGTAATAAATTTCAGATATCCCTGATAATATAATGTTATAAGACCTTAAGTTATAATATTAATAAGTTATACTCTAATGAGTTATATACGCTAGAATTCTAGCAGTTCATTCGTTTAGAAACCAAATTTTACGCTAATATTATGCCCAACGTTGCTCCTCCGATTTAAAAATTTTTCTATACATTGTTGCGTACTATAAACGATACTTGTATAGAAAGAACTGCAGTGTAATTGATGATTTTGTTGATGGGCACGAGTTACGAAACAATAGAAATGGATACTGACGGCGAGACATTTATGGTTCTCACGTATTGAGGTGATACACTCACAACTCAATTTTACCCAGGCTTCCGACTGATCAACTACACAAGTTTCATCCACAACGAAGCCGGTATCAAAATTTGTTATTATTTTCTGCCTGAACCTTGCTCAGTTCAAACTACTGTAGGGAAGGGATCGTAATGTGAAAGAGCAGCACGCGCTGCAATATGAAGGAAAATATGAGCAGACAATTCGACTGGCCTGGATTTAAATTTACTTCACCTATATATAAATCACTTTGATCAATGGGAGCCGCATATTTTGGACTATGTCACAATCGCAAAGGTGTCATCAGAACTTTGGCTTGTACGAAAACAATTTTGCATATAATCAAAATTATTAGCTGATAAAAAAGGTTATGGAGATTCAACCGTATATTCGTTAAAATGTTCGCTGCTAGTTATTTCTCTCATGAAATGTGTTTAATTTTGTGATTTAGTTATCTGTAATAGAATTTTTATAACAGAATTCGTAAATTAAAAATGTAATATCTCCAAAATTCACATGCTAAGACGTGACCATTGGCACCTCAGTAAACAGTCGAGGACTCTAGGTTTATCGCGCGTGGATATTCAAGGTTAAACGTGCAGATTACGTTTACATCAGAAGTTATTGCAAACGTATGGGTATGACGTATGGTATTATCAAAGTATGTATATTTAAAATTGAATTATTCGCTTCTCTCTGTAAAGCACACAGCGGCACGGATTGTCTATTTACCTATTTCTTAATATTAAAATTATTGCAAAGCAGAGAGTCAGAGACTTTATCAGACTTCCTTTTTGTTTTTGAGTCCTACCAGGCTACCTATAATACTCCTATATGCTATATCATTATCATTATGTGAGGAGTCAAGTAAACTGAGTAAAGTATCATGGATACTAGATTACTAGCATTAGGGTATTGAATAGATTACTAGCATTAGGGTATTGAATACATATTATTGAATACATATTGAATACATATTAGGGTATTGAATACATATTGAACCAGATTAGTCATTTAGTGCCATTGGAGAACAAAAAATAAACAGGTTTCTATTGAACCAGATTAGTGCCATAACTGCCATTAGAGAACAAAAAATAAACAGGTTTCTAAAAAAAAACTTGTTTGCACTTTGACACATAGTGACAAAGCAGAGAATTTTTTAGACTCTCCCTCAAGTTCATTTTTGAGTCCTATAAGTTAATAAGTAGAAGTTAGAACAGTAAAGTATCATGGATACTAGCATTATCAATATCATACTTAAGAAATTGTTTAAATCTTGAGTTATTGAGGATATTAAAAATGAACTGATTCCAAAAAAGCTCTGGTTTGACACTATGCTTTGACAGTTGCCAGCTTGCCAGTTGCCACTAAAACACTAATCAATAATCTTCTCTTCATAATGGCCACTAACCAGAAATTTTTTAGAATCAGTTCATTTTTAATTTCCTTGTTTACTCAAGATTTTAACAGATTTCTTATGTAGGATAATTCTGGTATATCCCCCGATTGGAAATTTAAGGTAATGATCAGGAGTACTGCTTTTCAAAATTCTCACGGAATTACACCGAACCGCCATTGCACGGATTTTGTAAGAGATCTTGAACATTCTCGCGGAATTGCTATGTTTTCACGATTCATCATTTAAACAACTAACATCTCAATTTCGTCTAAAAAAATATTACTCATTACGTTGCCTTAATCCTTGAGCGTAGAAAATAAACACCTAAATTGTTTTAGTGTACTGAATTACTGCATACATCGCGCCTTCTTCAACTCCACAGTGCACGCTAACAGTTCCGTCTCCTACCGTCCTACGATGCGGATGTGAGCAGCTACTTTATATAATGCAGTAGCTACTCAAAAAATAATAGAACCAATGTTTTTTAAGAAACAAAGGTACACATTTTAATCATACAATAATAAATACGAAAATCTTTAACTAACTGCAAATAAGTTGAACATACATGTGATGTATTATTACAGTATTTGTTACGGCATACTGCATGCAGCATGAGTAACCATTGATGGGTTGAAAAATAAGGATTACATATTAATATAGGCAAAAAGTATCACAATGCATTTGGTTATGTTGGAAATGCAACACAATAAAATGTTGCCAACAGCAAGGGCTCATTATTGTCTCGGACAAATTTACGTCCGGACTCGCGCCCGGCGTCTCATTACCTGGGGGAGAGATCTGCAGAGTCAAACGTTTTGAAAGCCCTGAACCCTGAGAGATAATTACAGTTTCTGTGCTTCTGGAATCAATGATTTTCAGCGCATTATTAGTTCATATTAAAACTTGATTTTTCTTATTTACTCGGCATACAGTTGAACTTATTTGCAATTCATTTTCATTATTCAATTACATCGTTTTAATAAATCAAATAACTGATAAGATTTCAAAAATGTTTTCTAATGATATTGTGTTTTCTAATAGCATAAAATAGCACTTTATTAGCATAATTTCCTCATAAATATTCAATCAAAACATTAATCTAAACATTTTTTTCCAAAAAATCGGCACATATATACATGTTGTTCTCATCATTGATATGTTTCGAAAACTTTGTTTATAAATGGTACAATATTACTTAAACAGCTATGCTGTCATACTGGATCATGCCATTCCTGATGCTTGCTTAATGATATTGTGTTTTCTAATAGCATAAAATAGCACTTTATTAGCATAATTTCCTCATAAATATTCAATCAGAACATTAATCTAAACATTTTTTCCAGAAAATCGGCACATATATACATGTTCTCATCATTGATATGTTTCGTAAACTTCGTTTATAAATGGTACAATATTACTTAAACAGCTATGCTGTCATACTGGATCATGCCATTCCTGGTGCTTGCAAATTTCAATGTGCATGAATATTTTATTCTCTAACAGATTACGTAAATGTATCACTTTAAGTCAACAACCAGTGCAATTGATTTCGTACACGCTTGAAAATAATTTTTTTGTACCAATGAACGATGGCATGCTAGTGGCAGGGTGGCTCTGTGGATACGTTTCAGAGTACCATGATTCGAGCAGTGAGTTGTGGGTTCGATCCCAGTTACCTGCAACAGATCTGGTTAAATAGGCGAGGTGACCAAACAGTTAAGCACATCAAAACTGGAGCGTGCTGAGTGATTTGCATGTTCGAAACTGCAATTAGCTGAAAAAATTCTGCAAAATTAAGATTTTGGGACAAGTGTAATAGTCTAACGAAGTGACTAAACGAACGCCGAAACCAATATACTATATACTATAATATAGTTTTGTTCAAAAGATATAAATACTAATGAAATGCGTGCAAACAATATTTATTGGCAGTCGGATTTTAAAATTGTTCAGGCATCTATTGATGTTTCTTCATTTGATAATAAAGGCTTTAATAAAAGTCATGCGATAAAGACAGGCTGATAAAGCGTCCGATCAACATAATGTGAACAACATTTAAAAGCTATATAATTTCAGCATTAAAATTGTCTGAAACATCACCCACGGATCACGCAAACAAAAACTCACGTTTTAATGTTTAAATGTACGTCCATACTGAGTTTTGGATAGAGAAACTTCTTACTGTTATTGTTGATTATAGCTATTCAAATATTCTATGCATTTTTAAAGGATTTATTATGTAAAATATGCACAAATGCAATTTCCACAAATTAATATGATTACACATTACGACTTGGACAAATTACCAACGCATGTAGACATAAGGTAGATATTGCATTCAACTGGTTGAGTGATGTCGTAACTTTTAGAAACAAGTTAGAAAAATTATTTTCATTGTAAAATATGATCAAGTCAATAAGTGTTATGGTGGGCACTTCACAGGAAGCATCTCCGGCAAAGCAACGACAGTTACGAAACTCAAGAAAATAAAAAATGACAAACGAACTTATATTTTCTTTTATGTTCAGGAGAACTTAAATGTTCTACCAAAATGTAGGCAGAAAACAAAACAATATGCTAGGCGAAAAAAATGATTGAGTTTTTCTTAACCAAAGCCCCAGCTACGTTGCTTATCATTAGGCCGCTTCAACTAGGGTCACAGTAGGGTGGCCCAGTGGTTAAAGTTCTAGTACCAAGATTGGAGCAGTGAGGTGCGGGTTCGATCCCAGATACCTGTGCGCCAGCTTCTGGTCAGAATTGGCGAGGAGGCCGGGTGGTTAAGCACAGCAGAGTTGTAGCAGTGAGTTGCGTGTTCGAGACCGCAGCAAACTGTGGATATTCTACGATGTTAAGAATCGACGACAGGCCTACGGCCTAATAAACTTTGAAACTGCTATTTCTATTGTTATTAGATGCCTTCACCTTCCACTGCTGCCATTTTAAAAGAACATATTATTTTAGCAAAATTGAAGCAGTGAGTTGGGTGTTTGAAACCTGCAACAAGCTATGAATATTTTTGCGGTGCTAAGAATTGGCAGCATGTCTGACGTTCTAATGAACACTGACACCGATATACATCTTTTACGTTAATTCATATATCTTTTATGCTTTTAAATCTCGGTGTTATAAATTCGTCATTCGGTACATCATTCTAATGTTGGTTTGTCTTGTGCATATTTCTAATGCTAAAGTTATCTTTGTTTAGAGAATAGAGCTGTGACGAACTAATCTTGAATAATGGCTAATCAATCGC